CACGGTCTGGATGCGGATTTGTTCGCCGTCGGGATGGCACCTCTGGTCCTGTTCGTGTTCGTGCCGTTCTGCCTGGTTGGCGACGCCATGGCCGCTGCCCGCCTGCGCTTTGCTGATCGGGCGTGCGCCGGTCCCTGGCTGGAGGAGACTTTACAGCTCAGGAAGCTACGCCTCGGCATGGTGCAGGTGTCCCAAGGCCACGGCGGTGACCTTAAGGGGTTAGGCATAGGGCTGCTCGACAGAAAAGCATGCGGGAACGCACTCAAATCGTGGTTCAGTTTCCTACAGGTCCTTATGAACCTGCAGTAGTACCGGGTCTCGTCAGATATGTAGTCATTGTATCTGCAACTGCACCTTTCTGGCAATATACACCAAAAATTCACGAGAAAGACTATTTCACACATTTCTTTCCTAAGCCTATCTCAACGCATGTTTCTGGAATTCTGGAAGCATTTTAGGGAGCATCTGCCGTTTGACTTCGGTCTGGCTACCGATAGACTACCGATTGTCTACTAAGGACCTGCCGTTTAACTGCATTTTATCTACGAATATACCGCCACCCCCGACAATTTCCAGACAACATTTACATACAGGCTATCCCTTTGCCTCGGGTGACTAAACGAGGGACCTGGAATTGGTCTGTGATGCGGAAGGGGACGAGCTCAAACTGCGGAGTTTCCAGCAGGGATGGCAAATCGGAATTGAATCAATCGAAACGTAGCGTTTCCTGGAGCGTTTCTGCATACTTCTGTTCCATCGGAACTATCACAAGAAGCAAAATGAAAAGGAACGAAACCTCAGAAAACAAGAGTGACAAAAACTCTCTAGAGAAGAACTTCGTTTGGATTCGATCATTTTTGTTCGTGGTAGTAAAGTGCAGGTCCGTTCTTTTGGTGACATAGGTAGAACAAAACATATCAGTCCTTTGGGAATAATGCCTACTACTGGAAAAAGAAACGTGCGATATCCTACCTTTTCAGGGGTGCTAAGCCCGTTTTTAGGCTGTAAAAGTGCGTATTTTCAAATACAGTCTGAATAAGTAAACCGATCACATTTAATGATACATTGTTGCATTCCTCTCAAAATTGCACGTCAAACGTCAAACGAGCCTACAAGTGAAAGGGGCCTGATAAGCAGTGAGCAAATGAGAAGCAAGTCAAAGAGTACAAAAGGTTCTATCAATTTATGTCATTTTTGAACTCGTCCGACGCGGAATTTTGCGTAGATCACAAAAATAGTTTTAGAATCCAATTTAATTTCATACGAACAAAATATTTCGAAAAAACACAAACTGTAACGCCTCTGGATATTAAGTTTAGAGGTAGAGGTAGGTTATCCTTCCTTTACCTATACCAGTACGACTCTACAAGCTCAAGATTTTGACTAATGCGGGCTTCGTTCGTTCAGGGGTATGCAACGGCCGGGTGAGCGGCTGAGGCGATGCTCGGCCCGGCCCGGCCCGGCGGGCCGAGCGAACGCGCGGGACCTGCGCGGCTGGCTTCTGATTGTGATTTTTCCAATTTTTCTTGTCTAACAATAGAAACCAAGGCATCCAGTACACCCTATAGGCTCTCCTCTTCTTGTCAGTGCTCTTATTTCTTCTTGGCGAGTCGTCATTATTTCGTATTTTCAAAAGAGAGTTTTTTTTTTACAGTTGCGAAGTTAAAGAAATCGTGCGTGTGAGTTATCAAGATTTCAGATCGAGTTGAAACTTACAATGGACCTTCGTTAAAGTAAGACCTTTCGATAGGTTTGCGTGTTTTCCCGGTAGGTGAAGTGGTTTTCCCACATTTACTTGACTAAGTCAGCCGAGCAGCCGGTGGGCTGAGCATCGGTTGGCGAGCGAGCCGAACTCGGGCCGCTACGTAGTTAAAGAAACTGTCCGTGTGAGTGATCAAAATTGTCAAGTCGAAACTTACAATGGACCTTCGTTAAAGTGAGGTCTTTCAATGCGTCTGCGAGTTTCTTCGTTAAGTGGAGTGGTTCTCCCACATTAACTTGACAAACTTGGCGCAGACCTAACCTCAAACCGCTCTTTTGCAAATACTACATAATGACGACTTACCGGGATAAAATTTAGGTACCGATAGAAAGAGGAAAGCCTATAGGGTGTACTGGATGCATTGGTTTGTATTGTTAACCGCGAAAAATCGGAGAAATCACAATCTGAAGCCAGCCGCGCGGGTCCCGCGCGCTCGGGCGGGCGGGCGGCCGGGCCGGGTCGAGCATAGCCTCAGCCGCTCACCCGGCCGTTGCATACCCCTGGTTCGTTGGTGTCCGACGACCTGGCGGAAGCCAGGCCTCAGAGGTCGACTAACGGTCAGAGTCACAGCTGGACCATGTCCTTACAACACTGAAAAAAAATCATTACATTTTCATTACATTGATGTGAAGCTATTTTCATTACAATTTCATTACGATGTAATGAAAATTTTCACAACAGTATTTCAATTGATTTTCATTACAACTTGTAATGAAATTTAAAATCAGCTTCAAAATGAAATATCCTGACATTTTATTAAACAATGTAATAATATTTCATTACAAATTTCGAATGAAATTTTACAACTTGCTTGTTAAAGGGTCGTGAAATTTTATCCTGTTCATGCAATTAAAGTTCAAGCCGATATGTGAAAATTATACGTTACTTTTCATGGTGGATTGTTCGTTCAAACGACGTTGAGCTTAGAATTGAAAGTCAAATAAAAAGTAAATCAGTATTTTCATCACGTCTACTTCCTTTATTTCTCAGACATTAAAAACAACCGTAAAAAACAATGAAGAGAAGAGGCACAAGTACAAAAGTGAATGTTTTGTAAAAGGTTAACCTTTGTTTAAGCATTCCCTGAGAAACGTTTAATAATGTTGCTGTCTCTCTCAGGGTTGGAAGTAAGGAGAAACCTGGAATGAAAAAATATACAAAATTAGTGAAAGGATAAAATTGGATTGCTTAATGCAAAATACACAAAATTTTCAGAAAAACCTACCTTTGGATAAATTCTCTGGTACATCTTTACTT